CTCGGAAGGGGAAGGTCTGCAGAAGGTGGAAAGTAATCAGGTTTTGGACCTGGGATAAAAAATAGCCAGACTAGGTTGGGCTGACTCCTTATAATTAATAGTGCGCCTCGTAATAGGATTCTCCAGCCTTCGGTGCTCCCTGGAAACACCTTTTTACATAAGATATTGCTCACGATGGAGCGCAGGGCTGTGATTTATGGGGGTTTGGCCTCCAAGAAGCACCTGGGGAGGTGGCCTGGACGGTGGGAGGTGCAGGGGCCCGGGGCTGAGGGCAGGGAGGGTGCTTCTGTGGGGTTGGCAGCCAGGTCAGGGGAAAGGGCTTTGTAGGGGAATGTTYATGGTGAGATGATCCTGGGGCTCAGACCGCTCTGCTCCGAAAGGGAGGAGGAGGAGAGGGGGTTTTAGGGCAGGAAAATGCTTCACCGTCACAGGGTGGTGCTCAGGGATCAGCAGGAAAGCACCAGCAGGAGCGAGACCCCGGAAATGGGAAGAAGGACGGGGGAGAAATGTTGGGAGAACACAAAAAAAMCCCAGGAGGCGCCACAGCAAAGCAAAGGGCTAAAAACAAACACGGGGCTGCGGAGTGGGAATGAGGGAGAGCWGGGAAGCCTGGAGGAAAGGAAAAAMGGGGAAAAGAGTGGGATGGGGGAAAAAGGGATCTAGGGAGGTTTAGGATGGGGTATATCCCCCTGGAGCACCTCGGAGCCCGCAGGTGTTAAACCCGGCCGGGGATCTCCGTGGATAAATCACCGTAACAAGCGCGTTGTTCTCGTCTGGCCGCAGCCAGCGTGGCACGAACGGGAGAGGKTTGTAATAATTAATAATCATTAGAATAATAATGCATAAAGACAGTAGCAAAGTAATTAGTCAGAGAGGGAGCGCTCGCTAATTGAGGTGGGGAGCTGCAGCCCAAGCAGCCTGGGGAGGAGCAGGGGGAGGGCGTGGAGGATTGAGGGGTGCACAGGAGGATGCCTGGCATGTCCCAGGGGAAAACTGGGGTGTGTGGAACACGGTCCAACCCTCAGCACAGGCTGCAGTGAGTKGGAGCCCCGTGCCTCAGTTTCCCCATCCCTGCACKKGTGCTGTGCGCYGGAAAAGGCTGCGTGARGARTCCCRCGTCCCGCAGGCTTTATTTTGGTTMTTTCGGAAGGAAACCAAGCGGAGYGYGCCAGCCAGGSTCTGTCACATCCCACGGYGTCACTCCATGCCCAGCTGGCTCTTCAGGGCCCGCAGCTGGGCCGTGTGGATGTTGCTGCCGCCGCACACCACGACCACCACGGAGGCCAGCGGGGCCGGCAGCCGCCCCTCGCTCTGCAGCCGCTGCAGCCKCCCCGAGTAGAGCACGGCCAGAGCAGCCCCGCACGCCGGCTGCACCAGCATCCGCTCGTCATCTGCGGGGACACGAGCGGGGGATCACCCACAGAGCCCGGGATCCCCGCACCCCGAGCCCCCCGGTGCCCGCGGCTCACCCAGGAACCGCTCCACGGCCCGCACCGCCTCCGTGTCCTCCACCACCTGCGAGATCACCCGGCACTCCCGGGCGCACTCCAGCGCTCTCGCCGCCACCGTCTTGGCTCCCAGGCACTTGGCCACGCTGSGACAGCCGGGGACGGAGCGGTCACGGCCAGGACACCTCAGGCAGCCCCGGCAGCTCGSCGCACCGTACGGGTGGCTGCTCACCTGGTGATGTCGGGCAGGGTGACGAGCCGGCCGGCTTTGAGCGCCTCGTGGAAGCTGTGAGCTCCCTGCGTCTCGGCGGCGATGATGGGCACGTCCTGCCAGCCCACCTGGTGCAGGCCGGCCACCACACCGGCCAGCAGCCCCCCGCCACCCACCGCCACCACCACGGCGCCTGGTTTGGCCTCCAGAGAGTCCTTCAGCTCCCGGACCAGGCTGGCGTGTCCCTCCCTGCGGGTGAGGGGCAGTGGGATGCAGTCTGGGGCCACCCCGAGCCAGCCCGGATCCCGGGGATGGGGACCGGGACAGGAGTGAGTCCTGGCCGCACTCACCACACCAAGGGGTGGTCGAACGGGTGGATGCTGACCCAGCCCTCTGTCTTAACCAGCTCCTGGGCTCTGCTGTTGGCATCGTCCCACACCTGGGGGGAGAGGGGACAATAGGGGCTCAGCACACAGCCCTCACAACCCAGGGATTGTCCCTTGTCACTGCAGGGCTGGGGGACACCAGAGCGGCTGAGGATTCCCAGGGTGACCCTGCTGCGATGCCGGCGGGCAGGAGGCGGACATTTTGGGATGTTGCTTGCGGTTCGCCAAGCATCAACRAGCAGGTTGAGATCARGCTCAGCCCCCTTTGCACCCCCAGRCCCCGATTTTGGGGGTACCTTGCCGTAGACCTCGACTTTGGCCCCCAGTTCCTCCAGTTTGCGCACGGCGGTGGGGCCGCTGCTGCTGGGGACCACCACGGTGATGGGCAGCCCCAGCTGCTTGGCCGCATACGCCGCTGCCAGACCCGCGTTCCCCCCTGTGGAAAGTGGGGCTCAGGCAGGGCTCGACCCCCCCTGTGCATCCCCAGATTCCTCAGGAGCATCCCCCCAGCTCAGGGTGGATTACCTGAGGAGCAGACGAAGTGGCGGCAGCCCTTCCTGGCAGCCTGAAAGGCAGGAGAGAAAGMGGGGAGGGGGCGGCTGTGTGCCCTCGCTGTGCCCCCCATGAGGGCAGGAGCAGCTCTCTGCACACACCGTGCCCACACTCACATCCTGGCAGAGGTGCCCGATGCCCCGGATCTTGAAGGAGCCCGAGGGCTGGACGTTCTCCAGCTTCATGAAGACCTTGGTGCCCACGGCCTTGGAGAGGGGCAGGCTCTCCAGGACGGGCGAGACGACGTGGAAGGGCTTCTGGCCCCCGACTGGCTGCGCTGCCATGGCCTGACCACGGGTGCTGTGCCCGGGAGAGGCKGTGGAGTCACCAGCTGCCCCCCACGCCTCCCCCCCGCGGCCCCGATGCCCACCCCGGGTTCGGTGCGGAGCACAGGAGCTCCTGGGAAGGGACGGGGCTGTCCCCAGCTGTCCCCAGGGCTGTTCCCTCCCATCTCCGGGATGCAGCAGCACCGATGGCTGTCCCCGGGACAGGCTGTGTCACCCCCTGCTCCATCCTGCTGGTCCCCCGGTGTCCCCAGGCGTCCCGCGCACACCCAGTTCCGGATTACCTGGAGTCCCTCGGGACCTCGCTGCGCGTCCTCACYCACCGCAGGCTCTGCGGGACAGAAGAGGGACAGGTGACGTCGGAGAGGCCGTGCCGGTGTCCCCAGGTCCCCGAGCCCAGCCACGCAGCAGGGGCAAGGGGCAGGGGTCAGACATTGCCCCGGCCCGGCTGTTTGCTCAGCGCTGGGCGGTTTTACAGCCGCGGCGCTGGAGCGSTGCCGAAGGCGCTCGGCCATGGCCGGGCACGCAGCCGGGTGACCCTGCGGGGACAAACACGTGTGGCGCAGCCACCCAGATCCCAGCAGCTTTCACATGCCCAGGAGATGGGATGTGGGCTCCCGGGAGATGGGGGAAGAGGGSAGGCAGCTCCCGGATGATTCTGGGGGCCCTCAAGGGTTTGCGCTGCGTGTTACCGGGTCCAGCCAGAAACACGTACCAGCAGATTTTAGGATTTTGTCCTTGAACCCCTGGGGTAACCAGCGCAGCCTGAACAACCCAAATCCCCAGCCAAGGCACCCCTTATGCCTCCAAACAAGCCATCACATCCCTCTGCCCACTCTGTCAAGCCCCCATCTCACAGCAGCCCCAAAATCCTCTCCAAACTGCCCATTCCGGGGGAATTCAGCCCCTCCAGCCGGGGGAGTCCCCCGAAATGAGCCSCCCAGATCCAGCCGGACATGCTGGGCACCCTTTGGAGAGGGGGCTGCCCCAAGTGACCCAGCCAGAGCCTGGTCTAGCAGGCAGAGCCCCCTCTTTCCTCAGGGACCCCTCCTTGTCACCCAGCCCCGGTGACACCCCCAGGGTAAAAGCCCTACCTCTGCTCCGAGGGGCTGCGCAGCAGCGAGGAGGAGGAAGGTGGGATCGGGAGGAAGGTCCAGGCCTGGCTCCCAGCCCCGCAGCCGCAGAAGGTTCCTCTGTCACTCTGGCCAAGCCTGGAAGCAGAGGGGACACTGCACTGGAATGGACACACCCCAAACAGGGTTCACCGGGAATCCCCCACTATTTCCCGCTCTGCCCCACTGCAGTGACACCAGAATATGGGATTTCAGTCCCCTGACCTCAAGAGTGCTGCAAAACCCCCCAGAGCTCCGCTGCTGGCAGGCACCGAGCAGGGACAGAGCTCCAGGACAGCCCTGTCCCCGCTGGTGCTGGCTCTTGGTGACAATAAAACTTTTATCCTGCTGCCCACACCATCACTTGGCTCCGGAGGGWGCACAGCACASAGCCACGCTGYTCTTGGGGCACCGGGCACGGGAAARGTGGGGCACGAGGAGGATTTATTGAATGGGGGCATCGGGGGGCACAGCTCCCGTCCCTCTGGGGGTCTTTGGAGGGACCACCCCCACACCTCACAACGGRCACAGGCTGCAGCCACTGCCCTGGGGATGGGACAGTGGCAGGAGATGGGGAAAAGGGGAGAAATCCCCCCCAGCTCACAGGGGTGAGGCTGGAGACCCCCTTGGGGAGGAGAACACGTTCCAGCTCAGCCCTGGGCTGCTCCAGGGTCCCTTTCCACCCACCTCACTATCCCCCTTTTGCTTCTTTTGGCTCCATCCCTGCCCTGAGGAAGGCAGTGCCAGGCTGTCACCTGGTCACTTCCCTTGGCCAGGGTCGCTGGGTGACACTGGTGGCAGCTGGGGTGAGATTTAACAACTTTTCGTTTGTTTTTCCACTTTTGAGGAAACAAAAAAAGGGAATCGGCAACTCTGCGGCATTTCCAGTGTGCCCTGTTCCTCCTTGCTGCTCCTTCACCCAGCGATGGTGATCTGTCTGGGGAAACTGAGGCACGGGGACCCCAAAATCACCCCCCCCCCATCACAGGACATCACAGGGGCACCAGGGGACAAAGCTGCTACCATCTCCACCTTACCTGCAGCCTGTCCCAGCACAGTGAGATTTGGACACCTCGCCTTCCCCAGGGCACCCATCCCTCTTTTTGGGGTACCAGCACCCCAAAAACAAAGACCTGCCACCTCCCACCCCCCCACAGCCCCCGGGGAGCCCCAGGGGCCCCCAGCCCCGGTGGGAACCTGGCGCCTTCAAAGCGCTGCCGAGCCGCAGCCCATTAATCCCCCAGTAATGACCTCGTTATTCCTAACGAGGCAGAGCGGATCAAGGGAGCTGCCTAAGAGGATTTTGCACCGCGGGTTTTGGGGATGGGGGCACACAGGTGCCAGAGGAAAGGAAGACAAAAGAGATGAGGGATGGTCTCCCACTCCTGAGGGGCGAGCAGCGGGGCTCCCCCATTCCAGCAGAGAACCCCTCACAGCCTGCACCCCCAAAAAACCCTCCGGGCTGGCCACACCCCCTCCCACCAGCAGAGAAGCGGGATCATCCTGTTAATGGGGTGGGGGCCAGACCCCTGCGTGAGCCCAACCCTGACACAAGCACCAGAGAACCCCAGCAGAGAGCAAAGCACAGCCACCAACACAGAGCACTTTATTTGCCACAGCCAAACCAGCTCACCGCCCTCCTCTCTGCCCCATGGGTGAGCCCCCAGACACCCAGCACCCCCCTTTGCTGGGAAGAGCCCCCCCAAACCAGGCAGCAGCACCCAGGGAAAGGTGCTGGGACTGGAGAGCCCCGTGGCAGGGAGGGGACACGGGGGCTCAGCCCCTCRTGCAGCACAGCCAGGACCCCGAGAGGCAGAAAGAGCAGGGGCTGAGACACCCCACAGCCAGCTGCACCCCCAGAGGGGACAGACGGCCAAGGATGGACAGACAGAGGGCACCGGCGCCCGCTCAGTCCCAGTGGACCTTGACTGGGGGGAAGGTCCAGAGGTCGGGGTGGCCCATGTGCAGCTGGGAGCTGCAGGGGGATGTGCTCCAGCGGAACGGGGGGACATCATCCCACGCAGGGCCACTGACCGCCACCAGCCCGAAGGTGGGGACCATGCCCGAGGAGGTGACCTGGAGATGGGGACACAAAACAGGGTCACGTCAGCACCAGGAACGGGAGCTATGGAGAGGAGCCCCCAGGGGTGTCTGGTCCACACCTTCATGTCGATGCCGCCGTGGCAGCGCTGGCGCAGGGCTGGGAAGGGGTAGGTGCCGTTGGAAGGGTTGAGGTCGGAGCGGGCCGAGATGGCGTTCTCAGCGTTCTGGGGAGGGTCACAGCCYCTGCATCGTGACAGGGGATCCTGCAGGTAGTTGTTGGACCTGCAGAAGGGYCGGGAGAGAGCCACGGTGAAGACATGGAAAAAAAAAACTCCATGGATCGTGGGAAACTCCAGGGTGGAACAGGCAGGTTGGGGGGCCCRGCACACACCGCATCAGGCGGATCATGGAGTCCAGGTCGTGCACCAGCGTCTGGTTGCGGCGGAAGATCTGGGCACGAGGGTTCTTGTCGTAGGTGAACCAGTCCCCGTATTTCCTCACCAGCTCCAGGTTCCCGCTGGCGTTGAAGATCTCCTCGTAGTACCTGGGGTGGGGGGACCCAGTGAGCGGGGCGGGGGACAAGGCCAGCAGTGGCACTGCACGGGGCAGGGCTGGCACTCACGGCACGTTGTAGCTGGCCCAGTAGCCCTGCTGGTACAGCAGCTCTGTCTGATCRGCCACCACCACCAGGCCCCTGTGCTGGGAGGGAGAGCACTGGTCAGAGCACTGGGGACAGTGGGGGACATCCTGGGGGTCCCCACCCCATCACCTCTGTAGCAGCACCCCCTGAGCCTTTAGCCACAGCCCATTGCCCTGTGAGCCCCTGCTGGGGAAGGCAGGATTCCCATTCCCACCGGGATGGGAGAGGAGAGCAGGAGCTCAGGGAGGAACGGGGCCACTCACGGGATCTGCTCCAGCACCGTCAGCAGACCYGGCGTGGGGCTAGCTCTGCCCGGAGTGAAGGCCTTGTAGTCCACCACCATCCACTGGTTGTTGTACCTGCATGGAGAAYGGGGAATGCATCCCTCTGGCAGCCTCCAGCCCATCCCACCCCATCCAGCACCGATTGCCAGCCCCCAGCCCATCCCAACCCCACTCACGTGCCGCTGTTGAAGCGTCTGAAGACCGCRGCCCACTCGGAGCCACTGCGGGCCAGCCGGTTGGCCACGATGTTCCTCAGCCACTCCAGGACGCTGCCCCGGGGCTCCAGGTACTTCCACAGGGCCGGGTTGTTGTTGCCAATGGTGGTTTCCAGCGCTACCTGCRGGGAAGGGAGCGATGGGGATGGCAGTTCCACGGGGTGGGAGCTCCACAGACCAAACCCGCTCACCAAGCCACTGCTGAGGATGTAGAAATCATCCTCGGAGAAGATGGTGCCGGGGTAGGAGGAGAACACCTGCACGCTCCCGGGGATCTCAGATTTGCCTGGAGGGGGAGCAGAGGCATCAGAAGGGGGTTGTGAGGCACAGCCCCCCCTGCCCAGCGCACGCACCGCCGGCCGAGGCGCGGAAGGGCAGTGTGTATTTCTTGATGACGCGCAGCATGGCCTGGTACGAGGTCCACGTGTCGTGGGCCACCAGCAGGTCCCGGTGGCCCGGCAGCAGCTTCACAAGGGCGGAGCAGGACCCTGAGCCCAGGACACGCTGCGGGGAGGAGCGGTTCAGGGCAGACTCCAGGTCCTCCAGGTCACCGCCCAGCTGCAGCAGCCTGAGGGAAACAAGATATGAGGGGTCAGGTGAAGGATACCCCAGAGCTCTCTGTCTGCCTGTCTGTCCATCTCCARCACACCCCAGTGCTGGGAGCACCATGATGGCATGAACAGGGAGGGAAGGTGGAGCAAAGCAGTGGGGAAACTGAGGCAGGGGCTGTGGGGGGAACCCACCAGCCAGCCCAGGGTGTGTAGAGGAGGAGAACCTGCTTTGGCTCCATCCTGCCCCAGCAGTAGAGGACAAGTGCCCAGCAAAGGTGGACAAGGGGGACTGGACACACAGGAATTGTCCCCACAGCACACCAAACCCCAGGACAACCATGGCCCACTCCCCAGCGCCTCTGAGGAGCTGCTTACAGGAAGCCAAAGGGTGCCAGGGTGATCCTGCCCCGGGGGAAGTCCAGGCGCCGRTTGTAGCTGTCCTCCAGCCCCTTCAGCTGCAGCAGGGCCAGGCGCACCTGGGGACAGGGACAGAGCTGGCACCCGGCTCCTGCCAGGAGGGCTGAGAGGTTTGGGGAACTCATTCTCCCAGAGCAGCTGGGTCTCAGTGCCGCTGCAGAGGCACAGGGGGGAAGTGTCCCTGTCACCAAGGTCATGACTCAGCACTCATGGCCAAGGGTGACAAAGTCACCCCCTGTGCACCCCAATAGCAGCACGTGCAGCTCTGGGGGGAGGAAGTCACGAGTCACCTCTACTCACGCCAGGAAGGAGGATGASCACATCCCTGTCATCCTGCCTGGAGCCCGGCCAGGACATCTCGCTGTCCTGTCCCCTCCTCTGGRTTAAAGGCCCAGCTGTCCCAGTGGGGTTCCCCTGGGTGGGGGGACCCCRTCCTCACCTGGTGCCAGTACTCGGGGTCCTGCCCCTTTGCCATCTGCTCCTCCATCCAGGCCAGGTTGGCCTCCAGGTAGTCCCGCAGCTTCTGGCAGTACTCGCTCTCGTACTTGAAGGGGCCACAGTAGCCCACCATGGTGTTCATCCAGTGCATGTACATCAGCTGGGGGACACGGCCGTGTGTCACCGGCGGGGACAGCCAGCGGAGGGACCACACCACGTCCCGCAGATCCCCATTTCGGGAGGGGTCCGCCCTTACCTGCTCGGTGACCGCAGCCTCGGCCAGCCCGGCGGCRTAGGCCTGCAGGCTGTCATTGTACGAGGCGTTGGTGGTCACCTCCAGGAAAGCCCAGCTGTGGGGTGGGGACACAGGGGGTCACGGCACGGGTGGGACAGGGGAGGGCCCGGCTGGGGCAATCCCGGCCCCGTCCCGACCCACGCGGGTCAGCCCAGCCCGTCCGGTCCCGTCCCTACCCGACGTGGGGGATRCGGTCATCCAGGCTGGCCCAGGCGACAGCGCCAGGGTGGCGGCCGGGGAGGACGCGCAGCCGCTCGGAGCCCGGCTCCAGCAGCACGGAGACATTGCGGGGCACCGGGGACGGGGCTGCGCCGGCCGGGACAGCGGAGAGGAGCGGGGACAGGAGCGGGGACAGGAGCGGGGACAGCAGCCAAGCCACCAACAGCGCCCGCGGGGCCGCCATGGCGGGCACACCGAGGGGCGGGGCCAGGAGAGGCCACGCCCCCAGCAGCGCCGCCGTGCTGTGAATGGACCCTTTGAGAGGCGGGGCTCCAATGTGACCACGCCCACTAAAGCGTCCAGGGCATTGATAGGGCGGTTTGTTATTGGGGGCGGGCGCGAGTGTGGCCACGCCCCCAGTGACGCTCCCGTGTGTGAATGGGGCAGGGCTGGTTTGGGGCGGGGCGTGCGGATGGCCACGCCCCAACAGCAGAGCTATCCTCGGGCACGGCCGGGGTGGGGGCGTGGTTTGAGCCGTGGCCACGCCCCCTGYCCGCTCGGTGGTCGCAGGACCCCCTGTCTGTCCCCAGCACCCCCTTGTCCCGCCCTGCTGCCCCACGGCCCCACGCTCACAGCCACGCGGGTCACCCCTGACACCCACAGTCCCGTGTCACCGCTCCCAGCGCCCGCGGGAGATGTGCGCAGGTTCCCCTCTCCCCGCCCCAGCCCTGCCCCGCCCTTGGGGACCCCGCGTGGAGCCCCTCGGGTGGGCACCCTCGGCGTGTCCCCGTTTTGGGGGCAGGGGGATCACACGAGGTGCTGGTGCCTTCCTTGGGCCTCAGCCCCGCGGCAGCGCCGGCCTTGTGCAATCCCGGCCGGCGCCTGTTGACTGCCTTCCGCTCCTCCTCCTCCTCATCTGGCGGGCAAAGTCCCCCTCCTGCGCTGGGAGCAGGGTCTGAGGGCTTGGACCCCCACCCGCATGGCACAGTCACGGTGCGGGGCACAGTCACCCTGGAGAGTCCCCAGTGGGGCTGGAAAAGGTGCCACACGCCCTGTCCTGGGCAGGGCAGCGTCCCAAAGGCACCGCTCGTGTGGTGGAGCCCAGCGCATCCCAGCAGCTCCCAGTTCATGCTGGTAATGTCCCAGTGCTGCCCAGTGCCCTCCTCCTGCCGAGTGAGACCACTCGGRCACCCGGACCCGGCCACTCGTGGGTGCAGAAACCAGGGCAGGTGCAGAGGGACACACGCCATGTGGCAAACACCCAAATTTGGCCTGAAACCAGAAAAACCGGTTGAGAAAGCGGCAATGTCCCAACGGGGTCAGGGGGCCATGCCCCTGCCAGCTCCTAGCAGGACCAGGACCTGCACCCAGCGGGCGCCACCAGCTTTTTTGTGTCAGGGGTGACCCGGGATCCTGGGGGACACCCATCCAGTGCCCATCCAGCCGGGCACTGCTTTTATTTTATTTTTTTTTTTTCCTTTCCCCTTATCCGTGGAGAAGGATAGAATGCAACTTCGGGGAGAAACCGGCCAGGGTGGGAAATAGATCTCTGAATAATCCCATCACGATTTTGGGGCTCCGGCCATGGGGGCCAACGTGCACCCCGCAAACAGGGCACGGGGGTCTGCAGGGGGCGGGGGTGAGGCTGGGGTGTCCTGGAGCTGGGGACACGGGTGCGGAAAGGGGCACCAGCAGCAGCCTGGGACCCTCTGCGGGGTCTCGGCCACCAGCACGGGGGTCTGTGCTCSAGGCTGTCCCACCACGGGCCACCATCCGCGGCTGTGCCTGCGATGAGCTCGCCCGGTCTCAGAGGGTCACCCCAAAGCGGCTGCAGCACCCAGGGTGAGTGTCCCGGCCTGAGAGCGACGGGACGGGGCAGAGACCCGCGTTTGTGTCCCCTGTCCGCAGCCAGCCAGCCCGCCCGCCGCGTGGGAAAGTGTCGCTGTCGCTTTAAGGGCGGAGGGTGGCGGCCCCTTTAAGGCGGGGGGGCGGGGGGATCAGCTGCCCGCGCACGGCAGCGGGGCCGCGCCGACACGGTGGGTCCGAGCCGCGGGTGGGGTCCCCGGTACCCCCATCCAGCCCCGCATCCCCGCTCCCCGCATCCCCGCCCGGGATCCCCCACCCCACCCCACCGCGCTCCCCGTCCCCACCCGCACCGCGGCCCCCCGTCCCCTCCCTGTCCCCTCCCTGTCCCCAGGGGTGTCCCCAGGGGTGTCCCCAGGGGTGTCCCCAGAGGTGCCCCCAGCCCTCCGTGGGGTGTGGGTGCCATCCCCCGCCCCCTCAGCTCGGGGTGGCCCCGGGGCTGAGACCCCCCGGCGGGGCCGTGGCGCAGCGGCGGAGGCTCAGCCTGCCYGCGGGGGCCTCTGCTTTTTATCCATTCCTTTATTTTTATCATTAATTTTAATTTCCATTTTTATTATTAATTTTTATTGATTTTTAACCCCTCCTCGCCCCGCCCGGGGAGCGCGGGATGGGGGTCCGGGGGCGGCCCCCGCTCTGTCCCCCCGGGGGTCGCTGCCGGCGGTAGGTGTCCCCCGGGCTGTCCCCACCATGGGGCAGGGGACCGCGGGGCTGGCCGGGGTGCCCAGCCTGGCCGGGGTGCTGCCAGCCGGGACCCCGCTGCTGCTGCTGGACGTGGGGCGCACGATCCCTGCCGGGGGGGATGCTCTGAGCCACGCACGGGGCCTGGATGTGAGTCTGAGGGCTGCGGAGGCCTTGTGGGGACGCTGAGAGGGATTTGGGTACTGCCGGGGTGGGGGGTCCCGTCCCTGTTCCCCCGTCCCCGCCATCGCTGCAGGGATCTCACCAGGATTTCCTCCGCTGCTGYTTTTCTCCTCTGAAACCCTCGCTGCCGGCCAGGCCGGCGCCTTCCCAGGGCCGGGGGTGSGTGTGGGCCGTGTGGGGACAGGGACGGGGTGGGGACAAGGGTTTCCACCTCTGCTGGCCCTGGCACAGCCCTCGGCCCACGCACAGGTAGCACAGATGGGGAAAGCGAGGCAGGGATGACAAAAAGCAGCCCCACAGAGGGGTGGGGACTCCCTGGCAGCCCGCGGGGAGGGCGGTGGGTGCTGGGGTGGGGTGGGACTCAGGTGCCCGGCTCGGGCCCCTCCGCTCTTGCCCCACAGTGCTGGGAGGTTCGGAAACACAACAGCTCCGAGTGGTGCCACTTCATCCGGAGCAACCCCGACTGCCGGCTCGACGGCGGCTTCCTCGACTACCTCGATGGGGTGTTCTGCGTCTTCCCGCCCCGGCTGCTGCCCCTGGCCGTCACCCTCTATGTAAGGACAGGAGCGGGGCGGTGCCGGGGGTGCTCCGCTGTGGGGACCCCACTGACCCCTCTCTGTGCCGCCCCTGACCCCACAGGCTCTCTGGCTGCTGTACCTGTTCGTCATCCTCGGTGTGACAGCGGAGAAGTTGTGAGTGGCCCCGCAGAGGAGGGGACTGTCCCCAGAGTGACCGGGAGTGCCGTGGTCCCCAAGCAGCCCCATCATCTGTGTCATTCTCTGCCCTTGCAGCTTTTGTCCCAACTTATCAGCCATCTCCACCAACCTGAAGCTGTCCCACAACGTGGCAGTATCCTTGGCAAATCACAGGGGACCTCAGCCAGGAGGAGGGATGTGGGGACAGGGCAGGGGAGGTGGCTGTGGCAGGGTCACTCTGTGTCCCCTYGACACCGTGCCATGGAATACCAATTTGGAGCCTGAGCTGGAGGTGACAGAGGGACAAGYGGTCACGTGCTGGCACTGGGCAGGAGCGCACAGCACCCGTGTCCCCACGGGGAGGAGGCTGCCAGGCCTTTTCCTTGACGTGCTCTCTCCATGGTGTCACCTTCCTGGCCTTTGGGAACGGGGCACCCGATGTCTTCAGTGCTGTGGTGGCCTTCTCTGACCCCCGGACAGCGGGGCTGGCGATCGGGGCCATCTTTGGTAAGGGCTGCCAGCTCCTCCCAGAGAGCTGCTGGCTTGGGGCAGGGTGTTTGGGGTGTTGTGTTGGAGCTGTGGGATGTCCCCACATCCCCAGACAGTCCYGTTGTGTTGGCAGGTGCCGGCGTGTTCGTCACCTCAGTGGTGGCCGGGGGCATCGCCCTGGTCAAGCCCTTCACGGCCGCCTCCAGGCCCTTCCTCAGGGACGCCATCTTCTACATGGTGGCCGTGTTCCTCACCTTCATGGTCCTCTACTTGGGCAGGATCAGGCTGGCAGAGGCTCTGGGTGAGCGCTGTGGGGTTCGGTGGTGGTAGGAGTACCCTGGGGGAGTGGTGGGAGCTCTTTGGGGGTGGTGGGAGCACTCTGGGGGCAATGGGAGCACCCTGGAGACAGTGGGAGTGCCATGGGGTGGTGGGAGCACTCTGGGGTGATGGTGGGAACACCCTGGGGGTGCCATGACCCCCCTCACTCCCCACCCCAGGTTACCTGGGGCTCTACGTGTTCTACGTGCTCACCGTGGTGCTCTGCACGTGGATTCACCGGCGGCAGCGCGGGGACGGGCTGGCCCCTGCCGGACCCTGGGAACCAGGTAAGGGCTGCGGGGCTGGGAGGGGAGCCCTGGCATTGTGGGATCCCCTCCCACTGCCCTTGCCCCTTCCTCTTCCCCCCAGAGCTGCCCACAGATGTGGAAGAGCCGGAGTCCTCGGGCACCAACAGCAGTGACTACGGTGCGTTATTCCCTCTGCTCCATCATCAGGGGTCCCACGTGTGACTGAGCCCGTGGGGTGGCCCTGGGGACACACACAGGGACCATGGAAGGGCTGGGGCAGGGACAGAGAGCCCCCACCCTGCTGAGCCCCCGTGGCCCCTCGCAGGGGAGGAGTACCGGCCCCTGCTGCCCTCCCGGGAGAGCTCCCTGCGCATCCTGGCCACGGCGCTCAGCCCCTTGGACCAGCGCAAGTGGAGGAGGAAGCCCTGGTACTGGCGGCTCTTCAAGGCCCTCAAGGTGAGGGGAGGGGGACACGAGGCAGGAGGAGCCCCCAAGGGGTGTCCCTGTCCCCCCGGGGATTTGCAGTGGGGATGGTGGGACGGGAACAGGGGGTTGGGAGCGGGCTGTGGGGCAGACCCCCATGGTGTCCCCTGTCCCAGGTGCCCGTGGAAATGGTGCTGCTGCTCACCGTTCCCGTGGTGGACCCCGACAAGGAGGACCTGAACTGGAAGAGACCCCTCAACTGCCTGCACCTCCTGACCAGCCCCCTGCTCTGTGTCCTCACCCTCAAGTCGGGCGCCTGTAAGAGCCTGGGATGGTCCCATCCTCCAGGAGGGGACAGGGCTGAGGTGGCCACCAAAGCCTGGGAACAGCAGGAGCACTTCAGAGCTGGGTCCCTATTGAGGGGAGGGAGGATGGGCAGTGGAGAGCCAGGCTGGGGGTTTGATTTGCAGCTGGTTTGCACTCCACAGGGATGGGGGCTTGGGCACCCAGAATCCAGGCCGTGGGTGGACAGTGGGGCAGGCCTGGCCTGCCTGGGGAAACTGAGGCACAGAGTAGAGGTGGCTTTAGCTSACAGGGCTCCTGCCTCAAGTGTGGTGGGATCCTGCCCCAGCCTCCCTGATGCCCCCTCTCCCCACCCCGTGCAGATGGGCTGTACCAGATCCAGGGCATCTTCCCAGTCTGGGCACTGGTCACACTGGTTGCCTCTGCCCTGGCCCTCATCGTCTTCATGGCCACGAGCAACGAGGAGCCACCCAAGTATCACTGTGTAAGGTGTCCCCTGTCCCCGAGCACCCACTGGGGACAGCCCAGCCTGCTCCAGACTGGGGGCAGAGCAGGAAGCTGGACCRTCCCCAGTGTCCCCAGGAGGGCCTGGCTGGAGGCCTGCAGGGTCCTGGGKATGCACCAGGGATGGGCTGGCTCCTCTTCCCGCCAGGCGTTTGCCTTCCTGGGGTTTTTGGCCAGCGCCATGTGGATCAACGCCGCCGCCACGGAGCTGGTGAACATCCTGCGCACCCTGGGYGTCATCTTCCAGCTCAGCAACACYGTGCTGGGCCTGACCCTGCTGGCCTGGGGCAACAGCATCGGGGGTGAGGGCTCTGCTGGTCCCCAGTGCCCCCCTGGCACAGCCTGGGGTCCCCCCGGCCATCCCCACAGTGTCCTTTTGTCCCTCTGCAGACACCTTCTCCGACCTCACCATGGCCCGGCAGGGCTATCCCCGCATGGCCTTCTCCGCCTGCTTCGGGGGCATCATCTTCAGTATCCTTTGGCTGCCAGGGCCGGGCTGGGGGCACCAGGGCCAGGAGCTGCCTCAGTTTCCCTGCCCACAGCCCAGGGAGAGCCCCTGGTGCTGTGGCAGCCCCGGAGAGGATCCATCCCAGAGTCCCTCCAATGCTGGCATCCTCCCCGGTGCTCCCACGGTGTGGGGGGACAGGAAGGCATTGGGGAGGTGCAGGGACAGAGCCAGCAGCACCCCTGTCCCCACAGCTGTTCCAGCCCAGCTGGGCAGGAGTTKGGGCTGGAAYGTGGCARTTTGGGATCTGCCAAAGGGAAGGAGGAGAAGAGGCTGTGCCTCCCATTGTCAGATTTTGGGGGGTTCCCAGCCCGGGCTGCAGCCCCTCCTCCTCTCCGAGTTGTATTCACCCCAGGCAGGGAATGTTTTGGCTGGGAACGCAGGGAGGTGCAGGAAGGAGGAGGAGGAGGAGGCTGTGGGGCTGAGGGATGTGGTCAGTGCTGTGTCCATCCTGAACGTGCCCCAGACATCCTGGTCGGYGTGGGGCTGGGCTGCCTGCTGCAGATGACCAGCAGCCAGCCGCTGGTGAAGGTGAGGCTGTGGGGACACAGGACAGGGGCAGGGTGGCAGCAGGACCCCGGTGTCACCCCATCACCCCCATCACCCCCTCTCTCGGCAGCTGGAGCCCGACAGCCCGCTGGTGTGGGTGCTGGCGGGGGCGCTGGGGCTCAGCCTGGTGTTCTCCTTCGTGACGGTGCCGGCGCAGTGCTTCCAGCTGGGAAAGGCCTATGGCRTCTGCCTCATCGCCTACTACCTGCTGTTCCTGTGCGTGGCCCTGCTCACCGAGTTCAGGGTGATCCGTTTCCCCACGCCCTGACACCCCAGGGCTCTCACTCTGCCTTCCCAGCAGTGATGTCCCCTCCCTGTCCCTGGTGGGGACAAGGACAGCTCAGCCGTGCTGCTGCAGGTGCCAGCCCAGCCTCAGGCTTGCTCTTCGGAGAGGGGAGGGTTCGGGGAAGGGGCTGTCAGTGCCCTCATCCTCTCTTCACTCTGTTCAATCCCTGTAATTTAGGGAACTCTGGGCAGGAGTTGAGCCCTTGGCGGTGTCTGGAGGGGAGGATGGGGAAGCTCCAGCTCAGGGAGGCTTTGTCTCCTCAGTTGCTGCCCCTTCCCCTGCTCAGCTCCCTGCAGCCRCCCTGGCAGAGCTGGGGCAGTTGTGCCACAGGGGGTGACACTGCCACCAGCCCAGGCACACAGATTTGTCCTTGGGAAGGACATCCCTGCTGGCATGGAGCTGGCACAGCCACACCGGGCTGAGGGGACACAGTTCAGTGCAAGCCAAGCCTGAGGGAAAACAAACCCCAAACCAAGCAAGGCTGGTTTCCCCTGCTGTTTTTTAGCGATGTTTTTTCAACCTGGTTTCAGATCCTACTTTTTCTCCTCCCCYTGGGGTGGGCAGAGCTGTAGGAAAGGACTTGGAGGTTTCCACACACAGTGTTGACCTCTGGCAGGACTAGATTTAGGCACTGTAAAAAAGTTGCAATAAAAAAAAAAAAACAAACACAAACCCAACCTTGACTTTTGCCTGGCGCCAGGGCCGCTTCTGCTCTGTGCTGTGACACAGCCCTTACTCAGCACGGAGCCTTTGGAGGGGAGAGGGAACAGCCAGGGCTGAGGCAGCAGAGGACCCAGGGACRCCCAGAGCGGTTTTCCCGAGGGATGGGGAAGTGGTTTGATGTCCCAAGAGCAGTCACATGTGTCACGGTCACTGCACGGGTCAGCACGGCTCGGTCCCTGGGGACAGGGACACCTGCAGGGCTGCCCATCGTGCCAGGGGAAGGYTCCTGCTCCCAGGGGAGTGGAATGGACGGGCTGGTGTGCTGCTCCCAGCTGCAGGGTCCACAGGACACAAATTGTCATCCCAGAGGGACAGCCACAGCCCTGCCCTGTGGGAGAGGGGRGTGTTGTGCAAGCCCCACAACTGTCAGACCTGGTTCCTTATCCTTTCCTGACAGGCCCAGAACATTTCTCCTTTTTCTAACAGATACCAGCAGCTTTCACAAAACAAATAACGCTCCCCGTGCCTGCAGCCATTGGCTGTGCCCTGGGCCTGCCGGGAGGAGCTGGGACACAGCCCCCAATTCCTGCCACAGGCAGGGCTAAAGCAATGGAAACCACGGCAAACGTCCCAGGGCAGAGGCACAAACACCCCTCCCGGCCTCAACACTGCGCTGGTGCAGCTTTGGAAAACCTAATTCTGAGCAAGTTATTTTGATGTTTAGGGAAAATCCTGGCAGGGGAAGGGTAGAAGGGAAGCTGGGCTCTGTAATGTCCTGGAATGCCAAGCAGGTAAAATATTGCCAACAAAAGCACTTGCCACTGGACAGGGCAGGCAGGCTCCTCTTGAAACCCTGGGAATGCTCCAGCTCGGCCAAACCCCATCTCTGGAATAACACGGGGAAAGAGGAAAGGAAGCCTTTACAAAGCCGAGGATGCTCTTTATTAGTGCCTGAAAAAAAAATCTAGAGAACATCTGACAGACACGTCCATAAAATCGCGGGATTTTAATAAACAAAACGCCAGCATACAAAATCCTGCAGTGCTTCCTCCCGTGCTCCCTGCAAAATGATTGTCTCCGTCGTCAGTCYGTGTGTCAGGGGAGGGAGAGGAGGATAAATAGAAGGGGATGCCCCGTACTCAAACTTGGTTTCCTTCCAAAGTCATATGGAAGAAGCAAACTGCTGCCGCCCTCCGTGGGTTACAAAAATAATGAACACGGGAAGGTGGGGGAGGATCAGCCCCGGGGAGGAGCACCCTGACCCCCAGCCCAAGCCCTCCAGGGAGCCCTGCTCTCRCATGAACAGCAGGTCAGTGCTCCCCTCAACACAGCTTAAAGCCACAGCTCCTTTCACACCCAGAAAACAACCCCCAAAAGAAAAAAAAAATTAAGTCACTGACAGCCCTGCCAGGAGCAATAGGCTGTGGGGAATGTGGAGATTAAACACGGCCACATTTTTTTTCCCCACTAACCTTCACAATGCTCATTCTTCCTGCCCACAATTTAAAGCACAATAAACACCATCTCCTGCAGCCCCAAGACTAATCTGGATAAAGCTCCGGAACTGCCACTCCATGCAGAGCGACTGTGAGAGCAACAACCGCGCTGCTCGTTAATTTGTGGGTGAATTTATGGTTTGGAAAACAGCCCTTTAAGGTCCTTCACGGGTCAGCTCAGTTTCATACCTGCAAGTATCCACAAAGGAAACAAAGAGTTGCCGTGAATTTGGCAAGGAGTGTGTGCTGCCTGGGAAGCTGCTCACCCACTCCTTCCAAGTGCTCAGGGAGGGAGAGATTTCCAGAAGCAGTCCGGTCTTGCCTCCTTCAAAGTCTCACCCACCCAGGAAATGCTCCTGAGCTGCCCAGGTAGGATCAGCCCTCTCCTGCTGTCCTTGTGCCATGCAGTGAGGCCAAGGAAAACACAGGGATGTGGGACAAAGGGAATGGGGACAGGGATCTCCCCCTGCCTGATGCACTCAGAGGAAGGGGGAAGCTCCACTCTTAGTCCAGACCTGAGGAAACATCAAACAGCACGAGGAGAGGGAAGCTCCCAGCTGCCAGGGAATTCCAGCCCTCAGCACYGACAGGGCAAAGAGGGACCTGGAGAGAGGCTCCAGAGAGTGATGACACAACTGTCACAATCACACAGCAAATGTTGGGAAAGGCTCCCTTTTCCCCCTTCCTCCCCATCCCTCAGCTCCCAGGTGTGGCAGCTCAGAAAAGCAGATGGGTGAGCAGAATTGTTTTCCATGTCCCTCCTGCATCCAAAATCCAGGAGAGCAATGGAGCTWTTCAGTGGATCTTCCCATGACCTGACTGATGTTCTCCAGCCTGAGGAACATCCCTGTGAGGGAGGAGCCCCACTCTGGGCTGGGACTGGCTCCAGTCCAGAGCCAGGACTGGGGACTGACCACCAGGACTGTGTGATGCCCAGGAGCTCTCCTAAACTCGCCTAAATCCAGAGCCAGGCAGAAGAAAGCCAGACTTGGAGCTGCAAACCCTTCCACTCCTCCTCCCAGTCATTGATTGGAGCTAAGGACCAGCCAGAGAGGTTTTACAGGGCAAGTGTCCAAGTGGCAGAGCCCAAAAGTCACATCACCCTGCAGAATCCCCCTCCCTGAACACACTTTGGGGTTTGTGGAGTGACCCCAAGCCCAGGCAGGACTGACCAGCAGTGATGCAGATACAGCAGTCTCTCCAAAGCCCTGTCCCACCTATGGTCACAACATGATGAGGTGCTGGCCCTCAGAACTGCTCAGGAACAGCTAAATTCAATAATCAGAGCTGGAGCTACTACAGGGAGTGCATCTAGGTGTGGGAAAAAGGAGGGGGAAGGCAGCCTGCCCTTCCAAAGTGCTGAGATTTCACACCACCTCCCCCTTCCATGCAGAAGGGAAGTGGAGAAGAAAACAAAAACTCACTCCCTGATCTTTTATCCCTAGGTTAATGGTACCCTTTGAGCAAAAGGGATCTTCAAAAAGGGCCCAAGTTTTAATATTAAGCAGGTGACCTCAGCGAATTCCCTGCTGTTAATGGATTACAYGTCCCTTTCCCCAAGGTCTGTTAGTGGTGAAACAAGCAGCAGGAGCTGGAGCCTGGCAGGTGGCTCAGAGGGACAAGGGCTCTGCTCTGCCCAGATGAGCAGGGTGCTCCATCCTGGGCTCTGCCTTTCCAGCCCCCACTGCTGGGAGGGAGCTTTGATCCCTACACTGGTACACTGACAGATCTATATACACCCTCCCCAAGTACAGGCTGGGAGGGAATTCTCTAGTTATTGCATAGAAGGTGGCTCGCGTTAGCTCAGCCTAAATGACGGTCTGGGAGCGCTGTCGGAGGCTCAGGGGCTTCAGAGAGCTGCTGGAAGCAGARGCAGGCTCCTGCAGTGGGGTCTGAGATTCCTCTTTCCTGGAGTGCTCCTCGTACCATTCCTGCAGCGGGAGAGCAAACACACACGGATCAGGCCGGGCCCCTCGCTGTGCCCCCGAAGGCAGAGCCTTCTGCCACTCTGCCTKGGCAGGGCACGTTTGTTCAGGCACAGAGGGCTCTTGCCAAAGCCCTGGACACGGCCTGAACTCCTGCAACAACCCAGGTGGATTGCACCAAGACCTTGCCACCACACCCAAATGTGGGCAAGGGAACATCCCTCCTTCAGGATGTCCCTCCTGAGCATTTAGGGCTTGAGTAATGCTGTTCCCATGATGACTGGGATTTGCAGAGCTGCTCCTGATGCCAGGCAGCACCCAGGTGTTTCAGGGTGTCACACCCCTGAGTCACAGACCAAGCAGAGCAGGCAGGGCGCTTCCGTGCAGCCCCACAGTAAATAACACATTTATTTTATTTAGGGGGGCTCCAGATTCATCCCTGTCTGCTCCAGGGACAAAGGACAGATTCAAACATTACCAGATTAATTCTAATCATTACATTCATCCATGACCTTCAAATACCTTTGGCAGGACAGTGACCAAACCCACTGCAGAAAGCTCCTGACCACCAAGGGCACYGGCAGGAAGGTGCTAAAAATCCAGGGAATCTGCTGATTCCTGTGTTTSCCACCTCACTCAGCCTGCAGAGCAGCCCTGCTTGGAGAGCCCCCGGTTCTGTGACAGACAGACAGACACGCCTAAGCTCCAACACAGCCACATTCCAGAGGTTTAAGAGCTCTGTGCTCAGCAGCCAAGCCCCAGGCAGCACCAGGCAGTGCTCACAGCCCCAAGAGACACCTGGGGAGCCCAGGGCAGCTCAGCCAAGCAGA